ATATATATATATATATATATATATATATATAAAAGGGAGCTGGGAGTAATTTGAATTAATGTGTCTCCCCCAAGACACCTCTGATTCCCTCCTCCCTCCCCACCAAGAGGCTCAACTGCAAGGATCTGGTTGTCCCTGGGAGGATGCCCGCCCCTGGGACCCCTGACGCCCACAGTCACCTGTGTGGTTATTATTCCCGTATCTGCTCGAGGCAGATTTCAGCCATCTTTTGCTTTCTGTGGTTTCTGGTCACTCAGCAGAGCCCCTGTGAGCAGATCTCGCTCTGAGAGTAGCTGCAACAGTCTGACCCTGGAACAAGCCAGAGAGTTGACAAGTGGGAGCTTGTGGCCAGCAGATGCCTATGAGCGAGAAATGAGGACTATTTGGGGTCGCCCAGGTGTTTCTCTTAGCTTCTCAGAGACTTAGCTTCACGAGAAAACTTGCAGTGGCAGTTAGGTTAGTTCTGCCAGAGCGTGTAGCCCTGGATGGTTCGTTAGCTACAGAGGTTGAGCAAGGATACGCAGAGGCACATGTGTCCTCCTAAAGTTTCCCAGGAAGCATCTGACCTTCCACTCATAGAGACTCATTTGGATCTGTTTCCTGATCTGGAGCAAGGACAGCACAGGGGAGGGTTGGCAAGTCCATCTTCTCACAGTGAGCCTCAGGAGACCTCATCGCCGCACCTTTTCTCCATGTAATTATCAGTCACAGGCTGCTCGTTCAGACAGTTTTAGCTTTTCCAAGTCTCAAACTTGGGCCCATCTCAGAATCTCTCTTCTCCTGAGACCAGGATCTTAATCCAACCTTGGAAGACAGATGACACTTAACAAACACATTTTGGATGTGACTCATGTCGTGATTCATATGTATTTCCTGGGGGCGGTTTGGGGATCCCTGAATGTGCTGTATCATTATGTCTTCAACTTGGAGGTACAAAAATATGACCAGCTCGAACAATTGAAACAATTCTGAGATCTTTCTGCATTGCATTTAGGGCCTTTGTTTCCATCATTGGTGGATTTCAGAGTAAAATTTCTTTTGGGGCCCAGGTAGAAGAAAAGAATAGGGAGTGGCCATTTTGACACACAGTTCACAGGCCCGAAAACCAGTGATATTCAAAAGCGCTCATAGTATCCTTGTCTGCTTGACCATGTGGTTACCTGGCTCTGTTCGGTGCAGTCCCAAGCATTCGCAGGTTTAAAGCATGTTTAAAGAGAATTACTGATTTTTTACGAAATGGAGTTTTATGAAACTCTCCAAGGAATGGTAGAAATCTTCCTATGTGGGTAGACTTTTAGAACAAGAGTTCTTAAATTTTGAAAAATAAAAACAGGGTATTAGGACTTCCCTGGTGGCGCAGTGGTTAAGAATCCGCCTGCCAGTGCAGGGGACACGGGTTCGAGCCCTAATCCGGGAAGATCCCACATGCCGTGGAACAACTAAGCCCGTGAGCCACAACTACTGAGCCCACGTGCCACAACTACTGAAGCCCACGCGCCTAGAGCCCGTGCTCCACAACAAGAGAAACCACCGCAGTGAGAAGGCCGAGCACCGCAACGAAGAGTAGCCCCCGCTCGCCACAACTAGAGAAAGCCCACGCACAGCGACGAAGACCCAACGCAGCCCAAAAATAAATAATAAAATAAATTAATTAATTTAAAAAACCCAACAAGGTATTAGGCTCTATATGTTCCCAAATCCTATAGTTGTGACCTAGGCCCCTCGCAAAGGATGCTCCTTGAAGTTTAAAAGCCAGTTTTAGCAGAAATAAAAGAAATTAGTGTTTTCCTTATAATTTAGTACCCACTCAAGATGCCACAGACCCCAGGTGCAGACTTAGTGGTGTGCGGCCGCCTGCAGAAGAGTTGCCCTTGCTTCCGCTGGCATTGCAGACAGCATCCGTGGCCATCAGAGGAAGAGTATTCTCCGACTCTATGTGGCGCTTCTTTCTCTTTTTTTCAAATGTTCTCAGTTTCCACTGTAATAAACATCCCTTGGTTTCTGGAGAGTAATTGTGAAACCACAGCTATCTGACCACCAGGAAATGCTAACGGGAAGGCTCCTCCGCATTTATAACAACAGCGAGAAAGTCAGACTCAGTAAAGCTGGACCCCGAGATTTCAGGGTCGGGATAAACAAACAGGAAGCCCCAAGATTGATGTCCAGGCCAGAGAGCAGAGGCCCCGGCAGCGGTGCCTGGACATTGGCTGCCCTTCAGAAGCCGCGAGTCGGTTTCTTTCCTGGGTTGGCCGGAGGAGCAGCGTGGGCTCTGGAACAGCAGTGGCTCGAGAGGACTGGCCTTGAAATAACAGGCTCTGGTACCTAAGTCGCGCCTTTTCCTCCCCATCTGGAAAGCTCAGGGAACAGCCCAGTTACAGCTGCTGTGGTCACGCCAAGCGCAGGGGCTGGTTCCTGTACGTACTTTCCCAGACCCCAGAGCAGCACCAGCAGGACTCACCTGCTCCTGTCGGCCCCTCAAGGGCAGAACCTGCGCCTGTGGTCATCCCATCCCCAGGTACTGATACGGTACCTGGTGGGACCCAGAATACAGCAGGTGCAGGGTAAATGTCAGCTGGGTGATACCTAATGTCAGTTATAAGTATTATAAAGCATTTTTGGTGGTTTGGAGGCTTGGACCCCAAAATTTAAAAAAAAGTAATTTTTTTTCCGATTATATGATTTTCCAAGCGTTGCAAAAATTTTAGGTGCTTTTTTAAAAAAATTTTTTATTTTTTAATTTTTTTTTTTTACAGTAGGTCCTTGTTGATTATTTTAAATATAGCAGTGTGTACGGTGCTTGTCATTTTGATAATTCAGAGAGGAACTTAGGGGAATTCCCTGATGTTCCAGTGGTTAGGACTCCGCTCTTTCACTGCCGAGGGGCCAGGTTCCATCCCTGGTCAGGGAATTAAGATCCCGCAAGCTGCACAGTGCAGCCAAAAAAAACAATACAGAGAGGAACTTAGGCGGCTCCTACTTCATTTAAGGTGACA